TTACCTAACTACTCCCTTGCTAAATATATTTTTACCTTGTTAACTAACCCCCTGCTAAAGAGTTTTTTGTTACCTTTAACCCAACTACTCCTGTACAGGTATATTTTTTTCCTTTTAAAATCCCCGCTATAGGGAAATTTTTTTACTTGTTAAAAAAATACTCCTGCTAAAAGATATATTTGTTACCTTGTTACCTAAAATACTCCTGTAAAGAGTATATTTGTTACCCTTTTAAATAAATCCCTGCCATAAGTATTTTTTGTTACCTTGTACCTAACACTCCTGCTACGAGTTATTTTTTACCTTGTTTTTAATATTTCCCCGCTCTAGAGTATATTTGTTTCCCCCGTTTAACAACTCTCCTGTCTAGAGTAATTTGTTTCCTTTTTAACCTAATACCCCGAACTGGTATATTTTTTACCTTTTACCCAATACCCTGCTACAGAGTTATTTTGTTACCTTGTTTCCTATACCCCTCTACTGGGTATATTTTTTACTTTTACCAACTACCCCCGCCTAGAGATATTTGTTCCTTGTTAATACCCCGCAAATTAGGACCCGATAATACTCCCTGCTACAGAGTAATTTGTTTTTTGTTACCAAATTCCCTGTATAGGGGTTTTTTTTTACCCTTGACCCAATCCCCCCTTTTAAGATTTTATTTGTTATTTTGGGGTTTCTAACTACTCCCTGCCCTTTGAGTATATTTGTTACCTTGTACCCAACACTCCCTTCTAGGATATTTTTTACCTTATAAATACCCCGCACTAAGAAAATTTTTTACCCTTTTACAACTCTCCCGCTTTTATTGTTACCTTTACCAAATACTCCCTGCTACTAATAATTTGTTCCCTTGTTACCCAACTACTCCCTGCTTAGAAATTTGTTTCCTTTTACCCAATACTCCCTGCTATAGAGTATATTTGTTACCTTTTACCTAACACCCCTGCTATAGATTATTTTTACCTTGTACCAAACTCCCGCTCGGGATATTTTTTACCTTGTTTTCCCAACCTCCCTGTTTTTAGATATATTTGTTTACCCCTTTTACCTATACTCCCCGCTACTAATTTTTTTTGTTACCTTGTTTCCCAAATACTCCCCGCTACTAGAGTATATTTTTTTTTTTTTCCCCTTGCTACCCAAATACTCCCCGCTCTGGTATATTTGTTACCTTTTAACCCCAACTATCCCCGCTATAAGGGTTTTTTGTTTCCTTGTACCCAACTACTCCCTGCTACTGGTATATTTGTTACCCTTTTTAACCCAAACTCCGCTACTAGAGTTATTGTTACCTTTTACTAACACTCCTGCTACAGAGTATATTTGTTACCCTTTTACCCAACTACTCCCTTACTAAAGGGTTATTTTTGTTACCTTCTCCTTACTAAAATCCCCCCTACTAAGTTAAAATTTTTACCTTGTTTCCCAAACTTGCTATGAGTATATTTGTTACCCTTTTTAATAATACTCCCTGCACTAGAGATATTTGTTACTTTTTAACCCAATACTCCCTCTACAGGATATTTGTTACCTGTAACCTAAATCCCCGCTACTGGTATTTTGTTACCTTGGGAACCAATATCCCTGTATAAGGGATATTTGTTACCTGAACCTAATAATCCCTGCATAGAGTATATTTGTTACCGTTAACCCAACTACTCCCTGCTATGGTTTAAATTTTTTACCTTGTTAAATAACTATCCGACTGGGTATTTTGTTCCTTGACCAACTACTCCCTGCTACTAGAGTATATTTGTTACCCTTTTTACCAATCTCCTGCACTAAGTATATTTGTTACTTGTTTCCTAACTATCCCCGCTACTAAGTATTTGTTCCTTTACCTAATATCCTGCTATAGATTTTTTTGTTACTTGTAACCCAATACCCCTGTACTAAGTATTTTGTTACCTTGTTAACAATCTCCCTGCTACTAGGTATATTTGTTACCCTTTTAACCAATACCCTGTATAGGTAATTTGTTACCTTGTACCTAACTACCCTGCTTGAGTATATTGTTTACCTGTACTAAATACTCCTGCTATAGGGGTTTTTTTTACCTTGTTAACTAACTACTCCGCTCTAGAGTTTATTTGTTACCCTTTTTAACCAAAAACCCCGTAAAAGAGTATATTTGTTTTCCTTGTTCCTAACTAACCCCGCTACAAGATATTGTTACCCTTTTCCTTATACCCCCGCTACTAGAGATATTTTTTACCCTTTTACTAACTACCCCTGCAAATAGAGTTTAATTTTTTACCGACCTTTAAATACTCCCTGCTATAGAGTAAATTTGTTACTTTTTACAAAAAATACTCCCTGCTATGGTATATTTGTTACCTTTTAAATAATACTCCCCGCATTTAAAATATATTTGTTTTCCCCTTTTAACCCAACTACTCCCCCGCCTAGAGTAATTTGTTACCCTTTTAACCAACTACTCCCTGACTAAGTATATTTGTTACCTTGTAAACCTAACTATCCCCCTAAGGTAATTTTTTTACCTTGTACCTAAATACCCCGACGAGTATATTTGTTACCTTGTTAACTAAACACTCCCTGCTATAGGTATATTTTTTTTGTACCTAATACTCCCTGCTACTAGAGTAACATTTGATACCTTGTTACCTAACACTCCCTGCTACTAGAGTATATTTGTTACCCTTTGTTAACCTAACTAACTCCCTGCACTAGAGTATATTTGTTACCTGTAACCATAACTACTCCCTGCTACTAGAGTATATTTGTTACCTTGTTACCTAACCTACTCCCTGCTACTAGAGTATATTTGTTACCTGCTACCTAACTACTCCTGCTACTAGAGTTATTTGTTACCTTGTTACTAACTACTCCCTGCTTACTAGAGTATATTTGTTACCTTGCTACCTAACTACTCCTGCTACTAGAGTATATTTGTTACCTTGCTACCTAACTACTCCCTGCTACTAGAGTATATTTGTTACCTTGTTACCTAACTACTCCCTGCTACTAGAGTATATTTGTTACCTTGTTACCTAACTACTCCCTGCTACTGGTATATTTGTTTCCTTTCTACCTAATACTCCCTGTATGGTATATTTTTTACCTTTTACCTAACTACCCCTGCTATGAGTAATTTGTTACCTTGCACTAACTACTCCCTGCTACTAGAGTATATTTGTTACCTTGTTACCTAACTACTCCCTGCTACTAGAGTATATTGGTTACCTTGCTACCTAACTACTCCCTGCTCTAGAGTATATTTGTTACCTTTGCTACCTAACTACTCCCTGCTACTAGAGTATATTTGTTTACCTTGCTACCTAACTACTCCCTGCTACTAATGAGTATATTTGTTACCTTGCTACCTAACTACTCCTGCTACTAGAGTATATTTGTTACCTTGCTACCTAACTACTCCCTGCTACTAGAGTATATTTGTTACCTTGCTACCTAACTACTCCCTGCTACTAGAGTATATTTGTTACCTTGCTACCTAACTACTCCCTGCTACTAGAGTATATTGTTACCCCGTACCCAACACTCCCCCATGATAAATTTTTTACCTTGTACCAATACTCCCCGCTTAGAGTTATTGTTACTTGAACTAACTACTCCCTGCTACTAGAGTATATTTGTGTTACCTTGCTACCTAACTACTCCCTGCACTTAGAGTATATTGTTACCTTGGTACCTAACTACTCCCTGCTACTAGAGTATATTTGTTACCCTTGCTACCTAACTACTCCCTTGCTACTAGAGTATATTTGTTACCTTGTTACCGGTAACTACTCCCTGCTACTAGGAGTATATTTTGTTACCTTGCTACCTAACTACTCCCTGCTACTAGAGTATATTTGTTACCTTGCTACCTAACTACTCCCTGCTACTAGAGTATATTTGTTCCTTGTTCCCCCAAATACCCGCCTAGAGTATATTTGTTACCTTGTTTCCTAACTACCCCGCTACAGGTAATTTGTTACCTTGTACTAACTACTCCTGCTAAATAGGTTATATTTGTTACCTTTTTTACTAACTACCCCCGCTACTAGATATATTGTTCCTTGTACCCAATACTCCCTCACTGAGTATTTTTGTTACCCTTTTTTTAATTTAAATAAACATCCTTTTTTTTGTTTCTTGGGTTAAATAACCCCCTTCCCGCTCCCAGAAAAAATTTTTATTTCTAAATAATTTTCCCGCTACCGATAAAATTTTTACCCCCAAACCAAACCCCCGGGGGTTTCAGTTTAAAAATTTGGTTTTTTTCCCTTTTAATAAATATTAAATTTTTCCCCCCTTTTTTAGGGATTTTTTGTTTCTTGCTTTTCCCCAATACTCCTTTGGATATTTTTTTGCACAATTTACTCCCTTTTATTTTTTTATTGTAACCTGCAACTAACACCCCTGCTATGAGAAAATTTTTTTACCTTGTTTTTTAAAGGGCCCTAAACCCATTTTTTATTTTCCCGCTTACAATTATTGTTAACGCCCTTATTAACCCTTTTTTTAAAAGGGGATTTTTGTTTAAACCTTGTCTAAAAAAAAAACTTTTCCCCAATTGAAAAAAATGGACCTTTGGGGTAATTTAAAAATACCCACCCTTTCAGAATTTTTTTAAAATTGGGGGCCCTTTTTTTTTTTACCCAAACCAAAATTTCCCACAGGGGTTTAAAAATTTTTAATTTTCTAATATTTTAAAGGCCCCCTAAAATTTTTAAAGGGGGTTTGTAAACCAACACTACCTGCAAAATTTGTAATTGACCTTTTAAGTCAAAAAAAATTAACTAATAAATTAATCTCAACGCTACCAGATTAACAATCCCCGCTAATTACCCCCACCAAGACCCAACACGCTGTGTTGTACACGAATTAAATCATCTCTCCGAGCTCTTCTTCTTGATAATAAAATATTGCAACTTTTAAGTTCCTGGCTTTCTGCCAGTGGACGATCCATTAGCCGTATTGTCACCACTACATTAGCCGTATTGTCACCACTACATACCATGTTTGGCATCGACTGAGTGCACACATTTGACTACCAAGTGCGAATTGGTATCTTCTTTGTAGTTGATGAACACTAGCAGGAGCTCCAGACATCCCTTTACTAGCATTATCGACTGAAATTATTTTACATCAAATGTTAAATTTTGAAAGGAGGACCGTTCTGACTTCTGATTTCAGTTATTTACACTGTCAATAAATATCAAATATCCATTGTCAATACGAGCGCCGCTCGTATTGACCTATTTTTGATAAGAGCGGCGGTTATACGTTTAGAATTTCCAAAGTCCTTCAGAAAATGCAAAAGAAAACCGCACAATTCCCGCACAAATTTCGAAAAAATCGTCGCACATTTGCCGCATAATTGGTAAAAATTTACCGCACCTTACCGCACATTTTACCTTTATAGTCGGGTGCGGTACCGCGTAATTTCGATTTTTTTACCGCACCTAATATGTGCCTCTGACGAGCGGGATTTAAATACTCTATTTAATTCTATCTAATAGTTATAAGTGCTCCTTCATAAAGTTTAAAGGTAGTGGGGTTGTAAAACAGAGCACTACCGTGACAAATTACCGTTAGTGATACTGACATTTCAACAGCCATTAGTGTTATAAAATTTTGCTGTTGTAATTTCCGAGAGGCGGCTGATGGAACATCAAACGAATTTTATTATCAGCAACTAACGATTAATGGGGGGGGGGGGGGGAGAGAGGGCCGAGGGGGGGGGGACATGTCCCCCATTAATGAACTAGCGATATCATTTATTATCAAAGATTAAAGCTCCATGAATGTGATTAGCCTTACTTCCTTGCGTCTACATATCAAAGAGTAGATATTTTACCAATCCAATTAGCACTTAATTATCCAATTAACGGGATATTAGTTCTGAGCACCTGTCCGAAAGGGAATAAGACTAATTCCCCTGGGAGCTGGGTGAAGACAGGCCGCACTGTACAAGTGCTCCTTCATAAAGATATATGTTACCGCAGTTTAATATTAATACAGCTAGTGTGTAGTAGAAATTTACATTGCAAGATTGGATTGTTATTCATGACTGTAAATAGTTGAGCTAGGATGTGTTTTAATTGTTGTTATTGCTTCAGGGATCAAATTTTATGATCTGATTAAGACGAGAGCAAATCTGTGTCATGAGATGAGATGCTCCTATATAAAGATTAGCGAGTATAGATAACTGTAAGTCTGAATAATTAACAGTTCCTTAGTGTAATTCCTGATGTGAAATATAATTGTAAATGAGATTCCTTGTATGTATTGTCCACACGAACTCATGAAATCTCTTTAATAATGTAATATTTGGAGGTTATGTGAGACTGAGATTAAGTTATTTATGTGCAGACTACCGATCTGCTCACACCTTGCCCATTATATTATTAAATCAACATGTTATGTAATTCAGAATTCGGTAATATTAAGTATAAAATAACTGTAGATGGTTTCTGAGATCTAAGGAAAACAGTGAATCTCAACTTAAAAGAATATGTTACTTATAAAATAAGCTCTATTGAATCGAGCACTACTTTAAACAAGAGTTTGACCAATCAGCAGTGTAGTTTCACCACGCACACGCCTTTTTAAGTCTCTTTTCTTGGAGGGACGTTCTGGAAAAATATAACAGGTACAAAAATCTGTGCTTTTAAGCAAAAGGACGTGCTAATGGTCTTCTTACCTTGTTTCCGTATTTAGTGATAAGAACGTAGAGCCACTGTATAGTGCGGTGGTGTTTTATGATTCCCTGCATTCCATCCACATACACCATAACCTCTCCCAGCGCTGAAATATTGCATATACTTATTGGAGTAGATTACTCGATGCTGAAGGGTGAATCTTGTCCTTGAAATATTGCTAAAATATAAAACAATTAGAGTATTGAAATGAGGTGTATTTCAATATAACATTAATTCCTGTCATTCCACATAATAATAATCGTACTTCTTATATAGCAGTAATAGATGAATAACATATACAAGGAGTGATAGTGTGCAATGTTGGATTAATCCAGGGGCGTGTCGTGATAATGTTTATGATTCACATAATATTTTAATGGATATGAAATAGTTTAGAGGAGACATGTATGGATGAGTTTCCTGCATATTATAGGTTTTATAATAGTTTTACAAGTAAAATATTATATTAATAGTTGTAGGAGAAAAAGATAATGCTTCACTTATACAGTATAGAACTACCAGTAACTTTTACAGAATGAAGTCTAGACGAATAAATGGATAAAAAGTTAGCCAAGAAGTACATATAACATACAATAACATATTACAATAACATCTTTACAAGAAACACCCAGTACAATAATGCCAAACGGCCCTCTAAACAGATGTTTAGAGACACAATTATGGAGTAAAACTTTGGTCTCAAAATTTCGAATGAGTATAATTTATTTTATAATTTCTTTTAAAATTAACACACTTCCGAGTTTGTTAAGGTCACCAAGGCAAGCATGTTGACGTTACAGTTACTATGAAATCAAGTTTATGGACATAATGCGAGAGCCCTGCATCCTATATCCTGAATAGTTTATTAGAGGGGAGAAATAGGGCTCAGTGTTTCCACAGAGCACCCAGAATGTTTGAACTACTTTCCGGACATTCTGGGCATAATACATTCCGGACATAATATGTACATTCCGGACATAATATGTACATTCCGGACATAGTACATTCCGGACATAGTACATTACGGACATCATACATTCCGGACATAGTACATTACGGACATATGTACATTCCAAACATCATGATATACAACTCAATTTTTCAGCAGTTACAGATAAAACCGTCATGCTTTACACCCTTAAATTAGATTTAAACTCAATTACTTGATAGAAAGAGGATAATTTGATATGCCCAGCACGATGCAAAATAGCGGGGTTCTTATTTCCACTACACGTTAAATTTTGCAGATGTATTTATCATGATCAGACAATACGTTCCTTTCGAAACACTTCTCGTCCATAGGACTGTAATTTTACTGTTATTTAAATGTTCGCGAAAAGGGTAAGAAAAACAAATTCAAAGAAATATTGATGTTTAATATTCAGATATGTCTACTTGATTAACCAACGTCAAAATCTCTCCTAGTAACCATGGTTACACTACTAGTTACCATGGTTACCATGGTTACACTGCTAGTTACCATGGTTACCTACACTAGTAACCATGGTTACACTACTAGTTACCATGGTTACTACACTAGTAACAACGTCAAAATCTTCAGGTTGTCACAGAGGTTAGAATGATAATATTTGTATTATCATATCCCTTCTAGAGAATGTACTGTAGTATTATCCTTGTTAAATACAGGTAATATTATAACATGAGCAGTGTAATTATCTAATTATACGTGTGGGCCAGCTGGTTGATCTCTGGAATGTGTAATCTTACTATATATCAAGCGAGACGATATATATATATATATATATATATATATCCGAACCATTTTACTGACACCTCAGCATCTTTCCGCAAAAACCGTAAATGATATACAACTTAAACTATTTTACTGGTTCGAATGCTTTAATGGCCTTCAAATCAGCATGAAATAATAAAAAATTGGCCAAAGAATAAGAATTTTAGTGCCCAAAATCTGGACCCCCAATTGGTGTCAAAAACGCGAATTAAATGAATAATACTCATTTTAGTCTCTTGAGTCTTGCCACCACTATAGGGTTAGACGGGTTCCTGCTAGTATGTGTAATATGTGTAATATGTGTAATATGTGTAATATGTGTAATATGTGTAATATGTGTAATATGTGTAATATGTGTAATATGTGTAATATGTGTAATATGCGTAATATGTGTAATATGTGTAATATGTGTAATATGTGTAATATGTGTAATATGTGTAATATGCGTAATATGTGTAATATGTGTAATATGTGTAATATGTGTAATATGTGTAATATGTGTAATCACGACACAAAGCAGTACTCGACCTGCTCCCCCAAACGGTCTTTTGTAATTATAATAACCCAGGAGTTTAAGCGTTTAAAACGTCTGACCTGGAGCCGAGCCAGGTTACTACTGATCCAGGTTACTACTGAGCCAGGTTACTACTGAGCCAGGTTATTGTTGGGCTGTGAAATGAGATTCCAGGGCACCAAACACTAGTATTTACTATTCAGTACCCAGACTGTAGCTACGAAGCTGAGAGGGTATTTATATTGTGGGGGCAATGTGTTATACACTAGAGGACAATGTACCGTAATCAGAGGATATTGAGTTGTGTGTCAGGATGGAATGTTAATAATGTTACACTCGGCCCGGGAGGTCACGTGTCTCATTACCATGGTCACGTGCCTCATTACCATGGTCACGTGCCTCATTGCCATGGTCACGTGCCTCATTACCATGGTCACGTGCCTCATTACCATGGTCACGTGCCTCATTACCATGGTCACATGACCGGTGGTTCCATAGGATTACACAGTGATACAGGTGACGTGGAGTGGTGTTCTGGAAACGTATTGATAGCAGGTGACGTGGTGTGGTGTTCTGGAAACGTATTGATAGCAGGTGACGTGGTGTGGTGTTCTGGAAACGTATTGATAGCAGGTGACGTGGTGTGGTGTTCTGGAAACGTATTGATAGCAGGTGACGTGGAGTGGTGTTCTGGAAACGTATTGATAGCAGGTGACGTGGAGTGGTGTTCTGGAAACGTATTGATAGCAGGTGACGTGGAGTGGTGTTCTGGAAACGTATTGATAGCAGGTGACGTGGAGTGGTGTTCTGGAAACGTATTGATAGCAGGTGACGTGGTGTGGTGTTCTGGAAACGTATTGATAGCAGGTGACGTGGTGTGGTGTTCTGGAAACGTATTGATAGCAGGTGACGTGGTGTGGTGTTCTGGAAACGTATTGATAGCAGGTGACGTGGAGTGGTGTTCTGGAAACGTATTGATAGCAGGTGACGTGGTGTGGTGTTCTGGAAACGTATTGATAGCAGGTGACGTGGTGTGGTGTTCTGGAAACGTATTGATAGCAGGTGACGTGGAGTGGTGTTCTGGAAACGTATTGATAGCAGGTGACGTGGAGTGGTGTTCTGGAAACGTATTGATAGCAGGTGACGTGGAGTGGTGTTCTGGAAACGTATTGATAGCAGGTGACGTGGAGTGGTGTTCTGGAAACGTATTGATAGCAGGTGACGTGGTGTGGTGTTCTGGAAACGTATTGATAGCAGGTGACGTGGAGTGGTGTTCTGGAAACGTATTGATAGCAGGTGACGTGGAGTGGTGTTCTGGAAACGTATTGATAGCAGGTGACGTGGAGTGGTGTTCTGGAAACGTATTGATAGCAGGTGACGTGGAGTGGTGTTCTGGAAACGTATTGATAGCAGGTGACGTGGAGTGGTGTTCTGGAAACGTATTGATAGCAGGTGACGTGGTGTGGTGTTCTGGAAACGTATTGATAGCAGGTGACGTGGAGTGGTGTTCTGGAAACGTATTGATAGCAGGTGACGTGGTGTGGTGTTCTGGAAACGTATTGATAGCAGGTGACGTGGTGTGGTGTTCTGGAAACGTATTGATAGCAGGTGACGTGGTGTGGTGTTCTGGAAACGTATTGATAGCAGGTGACGTGGAGTGGTGTTCTGGAAACGTATTGATAGCAGGTGACGTGGTGTGGTGTTCTGGAAACGTATTGATAGCAGGTGACGTGGTGTGGTGTTCTGGAAACGTATTGATAGCAGGTGACGTGGTGTGGTGTTCTGGAAACGTATTGATAGCAGGTGACGTGGAGTGGTGTTCTGGAAACGTATTGATAGCAGGTGACGTGGAGTGGTGTTCTGGAAACGTATTGATAGCAGGTGACGTGGAGTGGTGTTCTGGAAACGTATTGATAGCAGGTGACGTGGAGTGGTGTTCTGGAAACGTATTGATAGCAGGTGACGTGGAGTGGTGTTCTGGAAACGTATTGATAGCAGGTGACGTGGAGTGGTGTTCTGGAAACGTATTGATAGCAGGTGACGTGGAGTGGTGTTCTGGAAACGTATTGATAGCAGGTGACGTGGAGTGGTGTTCTGGAAACGTATTGATAGCAGGTGACGTGGAGTGGTGTTCTGGAAACGTATTGATAGCAGGTGACGTGGAGTGGTGTTCTGGAAACGTATTGATAGCAGGTGACGTGGAGTGGTGTTCTGGAAACGTATTGATAGCAGGTGACGTGGTGTGGTGTTCTGGAAACGTATTGATAGCAGGTGACGTGGAGTGGTGTTCTGGAAACGTATTGATAGCAGGTGACGTGGAGTGGTGTTCTGGAAACGTATTGATAGCAGGTGACGTGGAGTGGTGTTCTGGAAACGTATTGATAGCAGGTGACGTGGAGTGGTGTTCTGGAAACGTATTGATAGCAGGTGACGTGGTGTGGTGTTCTGGAAACGTATTGATAGCAGGTGACGTGGAGTGGTGTTCTGGAAACGTATTGATAGCAGGTGACGTGGTGTGGTGTTCTGGAAACGTATTGATAGCAGGTGACGTGGTGTGGTGTTCTGGAAACGTATTGATAGCAGGTGACGTGGTGTGGTGTTCTGGAAACGTATTGATAGCAGGTGACGTGGAGTGGTGTTCTGGAAACGTATTGATAGCAGGTGACGTGGTGTGGTGTTCTGGAAACGTATTGATAGCAGGTGACGTGGAGTGGTGTTCTGGAAACGTATTGATAGCAGGTGACGTGGTGTGGTGTTCTGGAAACGTATTGATAGCAGGTGACGTGGTGTGGTGTTCTGGAAACGTATTGATAGCAGGTGACGTGGAGTGGTGTTCTGG